ACTGTGAAGATAATGCTGAAAATTTAGAAATGTTGGAAAGGTATGATCTTAGTCAGTCAAAGACAGTAATAAAACGAGTTCAAAATTCATCGAACAGAATTATTTCACAGAAAACAAGATTAATATACAAGAAGCCAAGGATGAAATCATGAGCCATATAAGTCAGATACAGAATATTGCAATGGAGGAACGAGAACAACTCCCAAAAATATAAACCAACAAAGCATAACCTCAAAACTATTAAGCTAATAATGCAGCACTCAAATTGATTCTGGATGAAGAAGACACTATATAAATCTCAATGAAGCAATATATGCATCAATAATAGCAGCAACAAATAAACTGAACATCAAAGTAAAAAAAAGGCAGTCTCACAGACATGAAGATCCACCTTGGAAAAAAAAATAGAAAAGAAATTGAACACCTTAGAAGTGAATTATCAGTACTCGATGAACTAGCAAGAGGAGTAAATGTAAGAACTAGAAAAGGCAGAAGAGTCGAAAAGAAAATACAATATCAGGAATGAAAATGAAGTCCTATCAAATAAAGAAAAAAATAAAGCAAACAATACAACTGAAGGCTCAAAAAATAAGACGCTACGAGAAAAGATCAAAGATTCTATAGACAGAACAAGATCTTTCAAACCGATGCAAAGAAATTTTACAGGAAATAGGTAAACAAAGAATTGAAGTGACAGTCCCCCAAATGGAAGAATTATACAGTTCTGGGGAAAATATGGGCTTGCCCTAAAAAAGACACAACGAAGAGGCAGATTGGATTGCGCAAGAGTTAGAACGAATGAAAAATAAACCAGAACAGACATGGGCGGGAATCACAGAAGAAGATGTTAAATGTGCACTGAAAAAAGCACAACAACTGGAAATCTCCAGGAATAGATAAATTCCTAACTTCTGGCTATATTATTAAATACAGCACACAAAAAACTCGCCAAAGAACTTCAAGAAATGGTTACCGATCCAACTAAAATTCCTGCATGGATGACCAAAGGAGTTACCTTTCTTCTACCCAAAATAGTGACACAAATATTCCGAAAAACTATAGACCAATTACATGTCTTCCAACAACATACAAACTGTTAACATCTATTTTAACAAAACAGACATATTTCTTCTTGGAAAGAAATGACATACTACCACTTGAACAAAAAAGGTGCAAACGAGGCTGCTATAATAAAGACCAATTACTTATTAATAGGATGATCCTGGAAAACTGCTTCCGTGAAAAAAAAAAATCTTAGTATTGCCTGGATAGATTATCGTAAAGCATTCGATAGTGTACCACATTCCTGGATCTTAAAGTCTTTAAGTATGTACAAGGTATCACCCGTTATCATCAATTTCATCAAACAATGTATGTCGATATGGAAAACTACACTTTACCTCAATCATAAAAATGGAACCTATAAGTCTGGCGAAATAAACATCAATAGAGGAATATTTCAAGGTGACTCTTTTGTCTCCTTTATTATTTTGCATATCACTTATAGCATTAACCAGCCAACTTACAAGACAGAATGCGGTTACAAAATAGCTCAAAAGAAAATAAACCATCTATTTTACATGGATGACTTAAAATTGTATGCTAGGAATGACAATGAGCTGGAAGGTCTTCTGCAAACTGTAAAATGCTTCAGTGAAGACATCGGAATGAAATTCAATTTGGATAAATGTGCTAAAGCTACAGTTTTACGAGGATCAACAACAAACTTCCTCTATTAGTTTAGACCCTGCTGTAACAATAAAAAATTTAGAACAAGGAGAAGCTTATAAGTACCTAGGTGTAAATGAGAGTGAAGGAATTCACCATAAGAAAATGAAAGAAATAGTGCGTAAAGAGTACTATAGAAGGGTAATGACTGGTATTAAAAACTGAATTGAATTCTCAGAACAGAATTATGGCCATTAATAACCTAGCCATCCCAGTGGTCCAATATAGTTTCAACATCTTGAACTGGACTCTAAATGACATCAGACAAATGGATTCTAAAACAAGAAAGCTTTTTTCTAAGTATAAGATGCATCATCCAAAGGCTGATGTAGACCGTCTATACATACCCCGTAAAGAAGGTGGAAGAGGTCTTATTCAGCTAGAATTGTCATACAAGACAACAACTATTGGCTTACTAACTTACATGGAAACAACAAATGACTGGATGATAAAATTAGTGAAACAACATGAAAACAGAAAGAAAAAATATTCAATAATAAAAAAAGGCAGTAAATACAAACAACATTTACATTTAGTAGATTCTGTAGTAAATCAAAACAGAAGCCAAGAACCAACTATTGCAGCAAAAGATATGAAAAAAAAGCCAAGGATAAAGCCCTTGAACAGATGAAACAACGCTGGCAAGACAAACCTCTGCATGGCCAATATCCAGAACGTGCAAATAAACCCAATGTTGATAAAGTTAATACTCATCGATGGTTACGAGCATCTGGATTAAAGTCTGAAACTGAAGGCTTTATTCTTGCAGCGCAAGACCAGAGTCTTTTCACTAGGAATTTTCAGGCAAATATCATACATAATAATGTGGATCCAAAATAAAGGTTCTGTGACAAATACCAATAACAATAGACCATCTAATCTCAGGATGTTCTATACTAAATGAATATAAAATCGTCACGATAGAGTGGGGGCAATACTTACACTGGACAATGTGCAAACACTTTTGGAAAATGTGTAAGCAAACACTGGTATGAACATCGGCCAGCGCCGGTTACAGAAATAGAAGATGTCACCATTCTATGGGATTATACCATCCACACAGACAGAAAAAATTGAGCAAATAGGCCGGACATCATTGTCAAAAACCAGAAAGAAAAAAACTTGCCTACTAATTGATATGGCTTGTCCAGCGGATTGTAACATAGCAACCAAGGAATTTGAAAAACTATCAAAATACAAAGACCTGGAAATTGAAATAGAAAAAATGTAAATTGAAAACAAGAATAATACCAGTGGTAATAGGTGCACTTGGAATTATAAAAAATGGAACAAAACAACACATTGAAAGAATCCTGAAAACCCCAATTAAGAGACATACAGAAAATTGTCTTATTAAGTACAGCACACACACTAAGGAGAACTTTGTCTATGTAACGCTAGCAACTTCATCGGAGATAAAAAAAAAAAAAAAAAAAAATAACATGAAATGTAATATAACAACACACCAACCTGCCTTAGGTCTTTCCGCAGACTTGTAGGTAGTGTGTCCATAACAAAATCGAATGATGATGATGATGACAATAATAATAATAATAATAGATGGCCAATGGATTTCGAGGATACCTGTCTACTAGGGCGGCTAGACAATCCGTATTGCAGACGCCCGCTCAGGGGCGCATTTTTATTTGTTCAACACACAGAGAGGCCACCTGTAGTTTATACTGCAGCTATGCTTAGCAGGCCTTAGTTGCTGTTTCTGGGAGAGAGCTTGTTATTTTGCGTGATCAACAATGTGGACAAGGCCAGCAAGCACAAATCGTCAGTCACCATGATTTGTGATTCGTGCTAGGCTTGATTCAAACTGTGGTGTTGGTACGTGGCAGAGTGGTTAGAAG